GGGAAAATGGGAGGAGGGGAGGTAGCAGGAACTTGGATCTGTATATTTTATTTTTATAAATATAAATAAAAAATGCAGAAAAAAGGTGGGAAAATTAAATGAGATAGCAGGTAGGACGGGGATGGGGCACTGGGTTCTCAAGACATCTTCCTGCTGATTTGTGGGCATCGAAATTTTGGCAACCTGAGAAAACTGGAGTGCTGGTCACATCAGGGAGTAGTTGGTTGTTTCACTGCTTTCCAGGCTCTGTGGAACTCTCTGCTGTTTATTAGACCTAGCAAGATACTGGCAGAGCAGACAACAGGTTACGTTTAGAAAAAAATTTCTGTTTCTTTAGGACCTTGTGACTGAGGGGGAGGGTGTTAGGACCAGGAAAAGGTGAGGAGGCTTGGGCTCTTAGGGCCTGAGAATTGAGGGAAAGGTGCATCTGACCTGTTCTAGGTGAATCCTCCAAGTCGGCTCTCTGGAATATACAAGAATTATTTGAATTTGTGAAAACATAAGTTTTAGACACGTTATCATCCACTGTTCAAAATCTGTATTGAAATTTGTTTTGTAGAAATGATGGTGACAATTTTTTTTGTACCATGAAAAGTACCTTTTAAGTCTGTAGTTACAAAACTATAAGACATAATTTAAAATTCTGATCTCATAGCTATGATGGTGGTAGTATTCTGCCAGAGCTGTATTAATAACTTATCAGAATTTTGTTGATTAATGTTAAGATTAAAGATCCTTTGGATCCTAATATAACAGGAGCAAAATGAAAGAGAAAAATTTGAAACATTTTATTCTTTCAAATGTCTCAAACCAATTGCCTTTGTCATCACTTAAGCTTTTATGTTCAAACTTTCATAACTTGCATTTACACACATTAAATATCCTCAGACCTTCATGACCTGCATGCACACATCTTAATAACTTGCATTTGCAGACCTTAAAACATCTTCTTATACATGATTTTCTTAGATCCTCACATCTTAAGCTTTGCACTTTTATGTAAGTGACCCCTAAAGTACCTGTTACTTTTCCATTATTGTGACATCACCTTAACATTCAGGAGAAATTTGTTTTGTGAGTTTACTTTTTATCAGAGCCTGGTAACAAGGTAAATTTTGTCTAGACTTGGTATTAGCTATAATTGAGTAAGACCTGTAACCTGCACTTTACACAGAGAACAGAGAAGGCAGTTGACAAAGCTACCAGTCTTCAAACTCCATCAGAGATCTTGAAAAGGATAAATCACATGAGTTATTGAGAGAAACTTACTTGACTGGCTACCTAGACAGCCACCCTTGCAAACTCCTTGGTCATTGAGGGAAGGTTGTAGGGAAACACCTGCCACTCATTTCTCATGAACTCCCGTTTTTGACTCAAAAGCTCTGTCCTGATGGATTCATTACAACAGTCTTGAGTCCCCATTTGCACGGGCTTCTGAATGGGTTCTTGCCATTCAAAGCCAAATTCTCAACTGCACCTGGGATGCCTTTTACAAAAATCCTTTTAAATTGGGACTGTCTAGCACCTAATGTAAAAACAAATAAGGCTACAAAAGCCCATGGTTTCTAGATGCTGCTCCAGCCCCCCCCCCCCCCCCCGCTTCTCTAGCTGTTTGCCATTGGTCTCTCTCTGTTTCCCCTGCCTTCCACTCTAAAACCATATAGCTCTTCAGTCCTTTTGTTCTTGTTCCCCATTGCAGCATCTGCTAATCTGGTCCTTAACCAAACCGCATCTGTGCTTCCCTGGCTTCTGCCACCTGCCTACACAAGGATTTTTAAGCTGGTCCTCTGACTCAGGTTCTTAAAACTGTTTTATTTATCTGTCTGTTAGAATAATGTGACCACAGTATTTCTGTGTGAGTATGTGGGTTCGTTTTCATAGTATACTACTTTTAGTCTTTATGTGTGTATGTGTACATGTTTTAATATCTGTAAAGCTTATAACTCCAAATTCAAACAGCTCTGGAAAAATACAAATACATGGGTAATTCCCATTTTGACCCTACCACCACCTTGGATAAGAGTACCCACATGTGCTGCTATTTTTTGACTTATTAAAATAAGCTGAACACAAGCCCACCAACTCTCAGCTCTCCCCTCTCCCACTTTACCACATGCCCACAGGAAGCAGCCAGACTTGAGCTGGTGTTCCTTTATCCAAGGAGTCTAAAATGTTTGGTTCAGGGGCTTCACCTCAGCTTGCTGGCACCCCTTTATCCAAAAAGTCTGGAAGGTGTGGTCAAAAGAATCACCCTGGCTCCCTAACACCCCTTTTTACAAAGAGTCTGGAATATTATACCTGGGATCCTCGTCCCAGCCCCAGCACCCATCTTTGGAGTACTGGGCAGGAAGCCCCATTTCAAGCCCCCTCCCCTGGGAGTTGCCTTGGCCCAGACTCCACCTCTGGGAAAGCCTGCCAAGCAGTGACCCCTCCCCAGGGTGGGTCAGGACCACTCCCACAGGCCACTTAGGCTGCCTTCCAGAGATGAACACGTGGTCTCTGGGTTTCGCGTGGTTTCCCCCTTCTCTCTCTCTCTCTCTCTCTCTCTCTCTCTCTCTCTCTCTCTTGCCTTCCCCATGCTTTCCCAGTACCATCCAGGAGCATTGCATTAAACATGGCTGTCTTTTATTTGTTCTGATTGGAATTATTTGTGTAGTCAGTTAGACTCTTTTAAGAAATATTCCTAACACTCAGTACTAGGTCTTTGAGCAAAGCCTGAATGTGAGAAACCCCAGATGAGATGAATCCTCAGTAACAGAAACATGGTAAAGAGGTGGAGGAGGGAAGAGGCCTACCATTCCAGTCGATTTTGCCAGTGTTGGGTATAGAATTCCAGCAATCCTGAGTTGACTGAAGATTACAACCAGATTGACAATTACAGGGTTCTGTTGGTCCCCAAACATGCACATGGGAGGAACTGACAGAAGAGCCTGCCAACTGTCAAGGTGCCATGGTTATGATATGGCACAAGTGGGACCCTGGTGGGTGAGCCCAGGAAGAGTGAGGGCAAACATGGCCAGGCAGATAGAACTTAAGTGGAATGTTTTATTGGGTGAAGGGAATGGAACGGAGACAGGTGAGGGGAAGAGAAAGAAAGAAATGGAGACACCGAGAGAGAAAAGAGAAGAAGAGGCTGGAAAAGTCCTGCCCTGCCACTTCATAAGGGAAGTGGGAAAGAGAGATGGGGAGTGGGCAGAGCTTGTCTCTTTTGCACCTGTGTACGGACTAGGACCCTGGGATGTCCAGGGTACTGCCTCAATTCATCCGGCCAGAGGGCCGGCTGGCATAATGCTTGAACCCTAACAGTTATAATGTCTGATACTGTTTGTTTCATTTTGATATATGAGCAATAATAATTTTCCTTCCAGAGGGTTCCAACAGGATTCCATACCAAACATTCCTAATATGTTATTAACTGCAAGAATTACTGATCATCCTCTGTATCTACAATGGATAAAATCTGAAACTGTGTGTTTCATTTTGATACAGAAGTAGTAGGTATTTTCTTCCACCATTTTTACACTGCAAATACGTAGATCTCCTTCTAAAATCTAATGCCTGCCACAGCACAGTTGGAGCATAGTTTTTGTGTCTTTATTTTGAAGCAATATTAGGAATAATTTCTCAAAAAACAAAGAAATAAAACATTACTGATCTCATATATATTATATATATTAAAAATGCTACGTGATGGTGACTCAAGCCTTTAATCCCAGCACTCAGGAGGCAGAGGCAGGGATGTGGACCTTTGAGTTTGAGGCCAGCATGGTTTACAGAGTGAGTTCCTGGACAGCCAAGGCTACATAGAGAAACCCTGTCTTGAAAAACATAAAAAAACAAAACAAACAAACAAACAAAACAAACAAACAAAACAAAATACCAGCTTCACTCATAGAACAAGTTACAGTTTGAGAAGAATGAAATTGCAGAATGCATCCAGTTACACAGTATCCATTCTTTGGACTGGAGTTCCACGCTCACAACTGCTATGTTCTCATTGGGAAAGTATTTGGTTTCAAAAGTCAACCTTGCTGGGGCAAATGGAGCAGGAATTATCAGCCAACTTGGAATATAGTATGAGATTTTCTCAAAGAGTCAACAAACAGCAGGCAGAAATAGTAGCAGCACCATCAATTATTAAGAATAATATTGATAATAATCATAATAGTAAATTTCAGTTAGAAGAATACTTGACTTAAGTGACAAGCATTAATGTTTGTCATGAACTTTATTTTTGGTAAATACCAGGCATATTTTCTCAAAATCCAATATTCTTTCCATAAATGAAAATAATTAAGGTGAAGGACAAGGAAAAAGAAAAAAAGAAGATAAAAGAAATATAACAAGCATAGACATTTTGAAAATGTAAGAAACAAGATTTTGCTTCCTTCCTGAAGACTGAAATGAAAGTCCCATCATATTCTTTTTCCATAATTTACTTGAGCTAAAAATGCAGAGGATTTGGTCCCGGGTGGGGTGAGCCTGGACAACAGGCCTCCTGCCTTCACCTTACATCCTTTTTCTTTTTATTACAGTGGATCTGCAAAGCAAAAGCCGCAGCTTCCCAGGCAGCTCCTGTCACTGTGCACAATGCAAAGCTGTTGTTTGAATTTGCCTTTGCTGTGGGACTTGTAGAACAAACATGTTCCACCAGAACTTGATGTGATTCACCAGAGTGTAATTTACCAGATCCCTGGGAAAAGAGTGTACTAGCACACTAAGATCAAAGGAAAACAAATAAACAAACAAAACCGTGGCTCCACATTTTATATGATAATTCACCGTTCATTTTTCTTGTTTGAGAACTATTATTTAATGTGCCAATAGAATAACTAATGCAACTAAAGTCCTGCTTGCATTCTCTGGTTCTGCAGAGACTTACTGGGGCTGGCTCACAGGCCTGAGGTTCAGCTTTTCTGCCCTCTGCTTCCATTCTTACCCTGGGAAGCATTTCTCTGTTCTTGTAGTTAGTTCCATTTGAATATGCATTAAATACATACCAATCTCACCCTTCTGAAGGCTGTCTGTGGTACTGAGCATGCCAACAAAAGCCTCCGCAGACTCTGCAGCACTCATCTCTGACAGAAACTAAAAATGCTGAGAGCGAAAGAATGTCCTTAATGTTCCACTCCATCTGCCCTCCCCCGTGCAGTTACCTCACTGTGCAAACAGCACATTCCTCATTTGCATTGCCAGTCCTTTTCTGCTTTGATTGACTATCACATAAAAGGCACCATGAGAGGTGAGCCCTGTGATGCTACAGTTCTGAGTTTTGAGGACATCACTTAAGAAGGGGCACCAGAGCCAGCTCAGAGGATTCTGTGTGCTAAGGATCCAGAGGCTGAACCTCTTGAAGTCAGAGTGAGAATGGAGAAAGCTGGAGACATACTGTTCACAGTCAGTAAACACACTTCTCACCTCTCTAGGAATAAGAGATCATTTATGTTTGAGCCAATTATGAGCCATTCAGTCTGCCTCATACAACAGGTTCCAATATGGAAATGTTTGATGAGTGGTGTGGGGACAGAAAGACACATCCGACAGGAACCCTCTCTAGTCCTAGATATGACTGTAGACCAGTGGTTCTCAACCTTTTTACTGCTGTGACCCTTTAAGACTATCATACTGTGGTGATCCTAACCATAAATTTATTTGATTGCTTCTGGAGTGTGTTATTGTTTTGAATAAGAATGTAAATATTGATATGCAGGATATCTGATAAGTGACTCCTGTGACATGAATGTTCAATTACTTCCCCCACAAAGAAGTCACAATACACAGGGTGAGAACTGCTCAGATTTCCAGGGACCATTGACTCAGGCCAAACCAAAATTCATAGCTTTGATGTCAAGAAGAATTTCAAGGCTAGACAGTTTATGAAGCAGTGCTGGAGTTTTTCTAAGATTATTTGTGTTGTATTCAATGTATTACGGTGTGCCTGTCTGTGGGTTTGTGTCTGTGAGTGCAGGTGCCTGCAGAGGTCAGAAGAGGGCATCAGGTTGCTCCAGAGCTGGAATTGCAGCCTTGAAGAGTTTGGATTTAGAATGCAGGTGCCCCATAAAAGTAGCAATGGAATATCATCATCCTCAAGAAAAACAAATTTAGCATTATTTTTTATCATTTAGGAACATATGCCAAGGAAAACTGTAAATAACTCAGAAAAATTTTAAAATACTAGAATGAAATATTTTGGTGATGGATACGACAGTGTATGACTCTGATCCCAGAACTGGGGAGGCTGTGACAGGTGGATCTCTCTTGAGTTCAAGGTTACATATTGAGAATGGCCTACATAGGGAGCTCCAGACCTGCCAAGACTACGTACAAAAACACGAAAAAAATTAATGTATTAATTATATAAAATATAATATATAATCAATACAGTAATATAACATATTAAATATAAATTATTATATATACTATTAAAATATGAATTAAGAGAAATGTAGTCAGAAGGATTTTCAACTTAGTTATTTGGGATATTGAACTGGCAGTGTAGTTGGAAATGTCTCCCAGACTTTCTGATTTCCAAGAATGTTGCAGGATATTTGTTTACACTGCATGAAGATGTGACTATGTTTTGACTCACATGCCTAAGGCACTTGATTGGTTTAATAAAGTGCTAAATAGAAAATAGCCAGGCAGGATAGAATAGGCAGGATTTCTGGAGAGAAAGGGGAACACTGGGAGCAAGAGAGGAAATGCCAGTGTTGTTGTGATGACCTGACTGGGACCCTGGAGGGTCCCAAGGTGGGTGAGGACAGAGCTAGGGAGATCTTTGTGGTGTGTCCCATGGTATAGGAGCTTCCAAACTGTGTCAGGTGACAAACACGCCATGCAGAAAGAGTTTGAATGTGGAATTTATTGATTTATAGGGAATGTGAAGGGAAGAGAGAATGGGAGAGACAGAGAAACAGGGGGAGGGAGAAAGCTACCTCCTCAGATTGAAAGGCAGAAAACGAAGGAAGAGAGAAGAAAGTGGGCAGAGCTTCTCTCTTTTCCTTTCTTTCTTTCTTTCTTTCTCTCTCTCTCTCCCTCTCTCTTTCTTTCTTTCTTTCTTTCTTTCATTTTTTCCCAAACAGGGTTTCTCTGTAGCTTTGGAGCCTGTCCTGAAACTCGCTCTTGTAAAGCAGGCTGGCTTAGAACTCACAGAGATCCACTTGTCTCCCAAGGGCTGGGATTAAAGGCAGGCACCACCACACCTGGCCTGAGCTCATCCCTCAAAAGGACCTTTGCACCTGCACACAGACTAGGACCCTGGGAGGGCCAGGGTACAGCCTGGGTACATCCTGCCAGATGAAAGGTCAGGCCAACATAATGCCTGAATGTCAAGAGTCAATGAGACACAGAAGGAGTTGGATATGCAGAATGGAAAAGAGATAAAAACCATGTGGCAGAATGAATATTAATAAAACATGGCCATTTAATTAAAAGAGCTAGTGGAGCAAACCTAAACTAAAGGGCAAGCTTTCACAGAGTAATTAGTCCCAATGTCATTATTGGGAAGCTAGTAATCCCAAAAGAAAGTTGGACAAGAAGGTCTTGTTCTGCAAATAAAGCTGAGTTATTATAATTTTTTTAATCTCTTCACCTGTCATAAAATTCTTTCTGCTTAAGCAAACCTAATTCATCAGTTTTTCTGTTGGCTTTTCTTAACCTCCTGCAAAATAAAAGCAGACATTCAGCTGTTTTCAAAGTTCTGAATCCAGAACTGTTTGCACACCAGTGGTGCTTGGATCATAAATCTAAGGTCAACTGTTTGTCCTTGACACACAAGTGTCACATTTAGAGGACGAGACTGTAGGATCTGTGTGAACAGTTTCTGTAAAGGAAGTGTCAGATCAGGAGTGGCCATGGTTTGGGAACAGAGGAAGAGATTGTCTGGGAAGAATCTGCAATGGGTCTCACAGGAATGTGGGTAGAGTTATAGGACTATATTTCACTGTGATGGAAAGGAGCATTAGTTTAAAAACTTAGAAATATTCCCCAAACAAATGGATTTTACTGAATATAAAATGTACTTTTTTAAAAAAGCTTCCACTGACTTTAGTCACTATATTTGCTCATTTTCATACTTCTCCAAGTCAAAGGAGAACTTACCCTTTAACAAGAAAGACAATACTTAGGATTAAAGAATTGTAAGCATTATATATTATGCATTTCTTTTGATATTCAAGACAGGGTTTCTCCGTAGCTTTTTTGTTTCTGTCCTGGAACTAGCTCTTGTAGACCAGGCTGGCCTCGAACTCACAGAGATCCGCCTGCCTCTGCCTTCCCAGTGCTGGGATTAAAGGCGTGCACCACCACCGCCTGGCTATATAATGCATTTTTATTGTGTATATTAGACAAAATGTCTTTAGAAACTCAATTATCATGATTTATACTTTTTTTTTAACTTCTACTAAGGTGATACTCAAAGTGTCTCCCCAATAAAGACCCATTTGTTTCATTGGTTCCCCTGAGGGGCAGTTCACCTATAAGTCCTTACTCATGTTTTAATGTCTTCTCTTCCTTTTTTTTTTTTTAGCATTTAAAAACAAGGCATTTACTATTGGGTATTGCAAGCCTATACAAAAATAAAGAAAAATATGCTAAATTTTCATGTACTCACTACCTAGCTCCAACACTTGTCTGCATGTGAGAAATTTATTTTCATCAGCTTTCTATTCCTCTTGTCACCCCTATGCTCAAGATTACTTCTTAAACAATATCAGATATTTCTAAACACCTTCAACCTTGAAATGTCTAGACTTACTTATGATTTCTGAGTTCAGCATTGTACTTAAACTTCTTCCAAACTCTGAAGAGACAGTCCATACTCCTAACTAATCCCTCTAACTGTCAAGCAGTGTTAGGCTTTCCATGCCTAACTAATTTTACTCAACATGTCAGCCAGGTCTACCCATGCTATCACAAAAGACATGGTCTTATTCTCTCTTATACACACACACACACACACACACACACACACACACACACACACACATATATCACCAATTTATTCGCTGCAAGATGCAGGTGGATTCCATGTGAGGGTTATTATGAACAATGTCACAATCCACACTCAAGTATAAATATCTCTTACTGGACTAGGGAGAGTAGAGAGGAAGGAGGAAATATTTGATATAAAGAGGTGTCAGCCCTGTATTAAAGGCACAGTAAGATAGAGTTCATAATAAAGTATAGTGTTCCTGAAAATAGCTGAGGGAGTTTCTAATGTAGTCACCGTAATGGAACAATAAATGTGTGTGGAAAGTGTAAAATGTCAAGAAAAAACAGGAGGACAGAAATGAAAAAAAAGAACCAAACTGTGTTAAAGAACAGTACCTGATATGTCTTCTAGAAGAGACTGCAAACATGTAATCACCCCAGTTTTACAGTAGGATTCTAACTGAACATTTCATATATATTATCAACAGCAAGATTTACTGGTCATCCTCTGTATTTACAGTGGTATAAAATCTGATACTGTCTGTTTCATTTTGATACATAAATGGTAATTTTTCTTCCAACTTTCTCAAACTGTATATACATGCATCTCCTAAACTCTAATGTCTCCCACAGCACATTTGGAAGATAACGTTTGTGTCTTTCTTATGAAGAAATATCAGAAATGAGCTTTCCAAAAGCAAAGAAATGAAATACCGCTTTTCTGGTTTGGGGCTTTATTTTAAAAAAAAGGGGGGGGGGAGTGATGGTGACTCAAGCAATTAATCCCAGCACCCAGTAGGCAGAGGGAGGTAGGGGGATCTCTGAGTTTGAAGCCAGTTTGGTCTACAAGAGTAGAGGTAATAAAATAATAACAATGTTTTAGTTAAGAGAATACTAAGTGATAAGAGTTAACATTTTGTCATGAATTTTGTATTTTGGCAAATATTAGTCTTGTTTTCCCAAAATCCAGTAACTTTTTCTGAATGAAAAAAATTAAGGTGGAGGAACAGGAAAGATGGAATAAAGAAAATAAAACAGTAAAGTATGATGAAACATTGACATCTTCAAAATGTATGAAACAGAATTTTGTTTCCTTCTGCTGGAGGGAGGCT